CAGGAGGATAAATTTGAAGCTTCTGTATAGGCTTCACCAGAGGTCTAGAGATCTTACAAGAACCATGATCTTGACACTGAAATTGCATATATATGCACTATTTTTAGTGCAGATCTTGTTGTAACATCAAGGTTTTTTTGTATGAAGCCTTAAATTCACTAGCCTCCTGGTCTCTCTCAGAGTATTAAAACAAATGAGCCTTATAAAGATTAAGTAGCACTTGTAATTAGTACCACAATTACAATGAGAGTGGAATCTATCACCATGCACTATTTAGATATTATTACTATGTATTAACATTTGCTTTATCCTCTAAGATGAGTCACTGTCTGCATTAACGATGATGGGGACCAGATTGTCTGCTGGTATATACTGGGATAGCCCCAGCGGGGTCACCAGAGAGGAGCTGCCTTATAGCCCCAGGGATTATGGCCCTGGCAGCTCTACCATGAGCCTCACTGGGAGTCAGATCCTGTCTCTAGTGTGTTTTCTCTAGAAGGTAAATAAAATGAATAGCTAACTAGGAATGAAAATTAGGGAAGGAAAAAATACTTGCACAAATGTGTGGTTCACTTTTGGTGATTCAAGTTTACTGTACATGCTACATCAAAACAAATCTTTGCAATTACATTTTTCTTGGGGGAAGGGAGGTGGTTTTTTTTTCTGAACTCCTACACCCTGGTTAAAAGCTTAAAGCAGGCTGAGTTGTGTAAGGTTGTGTTGAGACTGATTAGACAGGAAAGCACGCTGTGACACTCCCATCCGTGTGAAAGAAGAATGAACCAGCTCCTGAAGTCCGTCCTTGCTGCAGCTTGATCTTCCTCCTACATGTTCATGTCAGCAGTCCTGATGCAGGAGCAGCAGATGCATCCAGTTCTTACTCAGCAACAACTGCTATGGAAATCAGAAGGAAGGGTGTGGGCTCAGCTGGTTTTTATCCATCAGGATTTGAACTATTGCAAGTTCTCTTTCTAGTAAAAACTCAGTAAAAACTGACCAGGAGGCCTCAAGATTTCTTCCAGTGCATTTTCAATGTACTTCCGTGGGGCAAATATGAGCAATAGAATCATAGAATCATAGAATCGACTGGGTTGGAAAAGACCTCCGAGATCATCGAGTCCAACCCTTGGTCCAAATCCAGTCCATTTACTAGATCATGGCACTCAGTGCCACGTCCAATCTGCGTTTAAAAATCTCCAGGGATGGTGAATCCACCACCTCCCGGGTAGCCCATTCCAATGCCTAATCACTCTCTCTGTAAAGAATTAGAGTAGTGCCAAAACGAGAAGTGCCAAAAGTTAGGCTTATGACACAAATCTAACCTGAAATATTTGTATATATATTTCAGTTTTGCAACAGAAATAAACTTTGGCATTGTCAAAGATGGATTTGCAAACCATACCGGGAAAACATTTTGGTACCCCAGTGAGATCTTCTATCCCACACTTCATTGCAATCACATCGGGTCTGTGTAAAAAATGAAATCATTCTCTCAAGTAAACCATTAGCTTACTAAACTTATTCTCAGATATTCTATTTAGCTTTTTAGTGCTCCTAAAAGGTGCTGGACTTTACAGTACTTCAGCTATATGTCCTTAGTTCATTTTACATCACTATCACCAGCACTGCATAGCTGAGCATATCCCAAAATAAAGACTGGTATTTTCTTCCATCCCTGTAAGCACCGGCACCATCACAGAGCATTGTCACTGACTTTAAACTAAGCTCATGATTTACAGAGGGGAACAACTTTTTCTGTAGCAGCAGAGGCATATCAGGTGCCAGATAGGAACAACTGGCCATGGTTAACCCCTGATAGATTTGAACGGTGACCTAGATATCAGAAGCAGCATAGCACCTCACAACATGAAATACAAACAAAATCCATAACCTTTATTAAATACAGTGTTGCATTTCATCCCACTGCAGATACGTCATTATCGTGCTGTGGGCAAAGATGAAAATAGCATGCCTGATATTATGTATTTATATAATGCATAATAATGCTTAGCATACGTAGAGCACTGTTCATTCTCAAAACACTTAAAATCATTTAAACCTCAAAGAAACTGTGAGGTAGGGCAGTATGTTGCTTCTATTTGGGGTTTTTTTATCATTATTTTTCCACTAAAACTTACAAGTGCATCACATCAAGGAACAATAGACCTATGGTCAAATTCTGATCAAATTACTTTGGTGAAACCGCTAGTTATCTTTGAAGCCAATGGAAAATTTCCAGCACTATGACCAAAATCAGAACTTGGATCCTATTCATACGTCCCGTAAAGCTGAACTGTTATTGGATAGCTTGGTACATCTAAAAATAAACCCTCTGGTTTATTTTTATCTCATTCTGGAAATCGGGTTGACATTGTTTCTTACTTCTCTGGATAACTTGAAAAGTAGAATCTGACAACATGCTGCTTTTCTTGTTTTCTGTGTTCTCCTCTCCATTTCCAGGCACCCTCATTTCACAGGCTGGGAAAGCAAGATGACATGGTTTTGCACAGCAATGGTACTGGTGGCAGACTTGGGCCCTGTACAGTCAGTTATCACATCTCAGCAGTAACCAGGCAACTCAGAGTAAGGTTCCCTTTGCTCTTCCTGCACTTGACTTCAAGGTGTTGTTTTTGTGTAGACATTTAGTCAATTCAGAGTGAACTCTGGTGCCTTGCAATTCTCATCTGGTTGTTTGACACCCCCTAAGGACTCTTTAAAGGAGACCTCTAGAACTGGTCCTCTTTTAAATCCATCGCTGAAGCTATTGCAGACGAGGTTACTGCCAGCTCCAGCTCAGAGGCTGTTACAGGAGGTCCAGATGGCCTTTCTCTGCTCCTGATTACCTTGGAGAAGGCGGGACGGATTTCAGATTAGTCTTCAGTCCACTGTAAAATGCGGTCAGTAAGACTCATGGCAGTAAGCAGTTATTGGCCACTTTGTTCCGCATACAAGTTCTGAGAGAAATAAAATTTACTTTCTCTCATGGAAGTAGTGCATTCATTTGAACAGGTCATTGTGGTTGAACTGTTAAAAAAGTCCAAGAATGCCTGTGTCAGTTCTTCCCTTCCAACATTTTATTCTATCCTGTCATTTTGTCAATTAAGGCTATTCTGCCAGTTCAGTTCAGTCAGCGGAAAACAAAATGAGGAGTCTGCTTTTTCTGGGGGGGTGGGAGGGCTAGAGCAGAGATGGAAAAAAAGTACCACACGACTCCAGTCATATTAAGTCTCTAAAGTGGTAGAATGACTCAGTAAAAAAATGAAACCTAGTACACTCAACAAAGTATTTTAACCAAATAAAATATTACAAAAATAAGTCCTAAATAAGTAAAGAAATACACCCATCCCCTCTCCCCCCATACACATGCTGAAATGCTGCAGTCAGGAGTTTAGCTCAAATCTTTCTTTCCTTGCTCTCCTTAAAATGGGCAGAGGAAAGACTTCTCAAACTGACCCCATGCTCCCTGAGGATTACATAGGGTCTTTGCAACAGTTAGGGACTTTCCTGTTACAGAATCATTTATTGCATCAACTCGAAGCAAAACCAGGAAATTGTTCCTGGATCAAAAGCTGTTCTTCCTTGGATCAGAATATGCAATACTGCTGCAGGACAGCTTCGCACCTTTCTGCATCAAGGAGCTCTTGTTGTGCTACTGTAGAATACATCTTTGGAAAAATTAGATTTTTGCCAGGGGTAGCAGCTCTATTTAGCACAGAGTTTCTGTTTCCACAGAAACCGCACCACTGAAGTCTGCAGAGGGCAGATGCAGAGTGAGAATATCTGTGACCACTTAGGTTAATTGCCTTTCCCAACTCTTCCCCCACTTCTGGTCTCTAGTGGCCCTCTAAAGATCAATGACAGATCACCAGGCATCTCGTTGCAGGCTTTCTGCCATCCTTCCCCATCTCCTGGGGTTATCTAAAGCTGGGTTTAAAACAGTACCCAGAGGGTCCTTAAGGACCACTTTTAGCTAGTTTGCTGTCTCCTTTGTCCCTGGCTTCCTCTCTGTTCCTGGACAGGCCATTTAGTTCCTCTGCTCCTCAGATCCACAGCTGAGCAACAGCTAGGAAAGCTTCCCTGCTCTAATGCAGAGGTGCGTTATGTCTTGTGTGATAGCTCAGATACAGCTATGATAGGAATTGTGTAAGTACCTGATTTAAATAGTTATTTTACTCTTTAACATGTTTTCATAACAAATAAATATTTTCAGATAAAAGGAATACCAAGATATTGCATATACAGATACATTACAGGTACTTCCAACATGTTACATTCTGTTTTCATTGTTATTACTCTCTGATACATAGTCTTTTCTAAGAACATTAATGTTTCCCAAAAAAATGAATAGCAAAAAAGATATTGTCAGTGCTGATGCATGAAAATGATTTAAGCCTCACCTCCTTTGCCAAGATACTTAATCTAAACTCAAGCTACAAAAAAAAAAAAAAAAAAAAAAAAAAAAAAAAAAAAAAAAAAAAAAAAAAAAAAAAAGGAAAGAAAATGAGACTTTTTTAAAAAGCAAGTTTGAAACCACTACTGAAAGCCACAACAGTCAAAAAATGCTGCAGCAAATGAAATCAAGGGGTGAAATTCATGCAGTTGCCATTGCCCCAGGTTTCACTGTGGTTCTACCTCAGTGCTACAGTGGCTTGCTCGTTTCCTTTCTGAAACTTTTCAGATGTGGGAAGAAGTTGGCTCTGTGGCTGAAGAGACTGGGGGCGTCAAATGAAAGATGAGATATCAAAGCTGAAGGAAACAATCAAAACTACCTATTTTTAGCAATGAAAACCAGTGCAGAGATCTTTAACAAAGTGGGACCAGTTTACAACACACTTCTGGGTTTTTTAGGCCATCAGAGCATGCCCGAGGACAGAGCAACTACCCTTACAAGCTTCTTCAGACCATTGGCAACCTACATGTTTAAGAGATAGTTCTTCCTACTCTGGAGTAAATTTGCTGATACCATTTTAGAGGCCTTTGGGATGTGCAAGAATGCTCTGTAACTATAAAGTTGTACTATGATTTTATTATACTCCTCCCAGGCTGATCAGTGACAAATGCTGCTTTTATTTATTGTTTCCATATGAAGTTCCTACACGGGCATTCTTATGGCAGTTCCTCATAATGGCATCAAAATAATACAAATCTTCAGTTACTCAGAAAACGTGACGACACAAACTTAATTACATTTAGGGAAAAATGTCAGTATAACTGACCTTGAGACAAATTCCGGCCTGTTAAGCGTATCTAAAACTTTTTTTTGTTTTGCATATACATGATAAGAGTATTCACAAGGGGTATGAGTTGCTATTCAAATTAAAAGAAAAAGCTAATTTGTTTGCAGGTTTAACGTATTTGGGCAAATTACGAGTTCCTTAACTTTTCACTAAGACTGTACTTTCTAATGATTCTTGTAGCAAAATCAGAATCTTGACTGTAACTAATAATATATTTACAAAAGCAACACATATTCAGAGCACATATAATTTTGCCCTGTGTCCCTCATGAAAGTAAACAACCCATGGAGCCTTGTATTTGTAGTTTGTAATGACTCCAGGACTCCCTAATGCTATTGCAGCCTTATTACGTGCAGCTGGAGGTATTTTACTCTTTCATATTTGCCAGGTCTTTCATTTAGTTTTCCACACTACAGTAGATGTCCTGGTGTAATGAAAGGCAATACAGACCATGATTTTGCTCTATTTTATTCACATCTCAGTGGTCACCTGTTCCCGTGTTATTACTGAACCTCTTACCCTTTAGCTGTTGAGAACTGAATTTGAACATTGTGGGAAAAGGTTTCATTCAAGTCAGTGTCTGAAATCACCGCTAAGTAGTGGATAGGATCCAGTTACTGTTAAGGCGGTGAAATATCCACACTTTAAGTGCTGAAGTTCAAGTCAGTCACTAAATTAATGACAGACCATCCAAGGGGGGTCCAGAGGGAGCGCTGGAGCCAGGAAGCCAGCCTTGTGCCTGGCTGGAGGGACCAAGGCTCCTGTGCTTGTCTGGCTGCACTCCTCCCATCCAGCACATCCCTGCAAAGAAAAAGAGCAGGCCTAAGCACCAGCCATCTGGCTTCATGGAGGGGGAGGCACATGGGCTTGGCTTTACAAAGCACAAAGAAACGAAACTATTCTGCCTGTGTGCTGGGAAGCTGCAGCTGATTCACCGCTGGAGTTCCCCTTGGGAGGGAAAAGCGCCTACAAAGCTCACTGACACCTCAGTTTCCTCACTAAACAAAGTTGTCTAGTCACCAATAAACATGCCATTTCTGGCAAAATGAAGAAAATGAGCGCTTTTCTGAATAATAATGGTGTAAAAGTTTAAATCTTGAGATCTGCGTCCTTTCTCTTTGCCTGAACCAGCCAGGAACAAAACAACCAGGTACTTGCCTGGGGTTGAACAGGCATCTGTGCAAGTTTCTTGGAGCTCAGGGTAAAAGAGCACAACCTCTAGTCAGAGCTTTCTATTGACACGAGTCTGTTCTTTTTAATTCTGATGTGAGGAACCAAGGCTTCCTCCAGCTTCTCAAAACACGGTCTCCCAAGAGAAATGCTCCTACCTTTCCAAAATGACAGCCTTCCCCTCGCTGCCTGGTGCTTCCACCCCCCTACAGCTGCAGAGGCTGTGCTGCTGCCACCACTGGAGCCTGTGTGTGCTCTGTGACTCACGCTGGGCACCGGGTAGGACTTAATGCCACTTGAAGCAGCAATAACTTCCTGCATATTTTATTGCAGGTCTCAGATAGTTTGGAGCATCCTCCTTACAGGCCATTTTTGTGTTCAACCCATTGCCTCTCTTCTCTTTTGTCTCTTTGGAGAGTGGCCAGTGGATGATGGGACCATCTCTGTCATAACCTTCTCTTCCATGCAGCTCTTCAGTCATTGTCCCTGCATTTTTCCCACCTGGGGGAAAGAAGAAGCCTGAAGTAACAACACAACAAAATTAAACCAAGCTATTAAATGACTGAGTGACCTTATCAACAAGAAAGATGATAACAGTAACAACCACAGCCAAAGCAACTGCAAAGCAGTTCTTCAGAAAACAAGAATTATTACACTATTACACTTTTAATTTCTGATGACCCAACGTTTTGGGTCATCAATTTGAATTACTGACCAAAGCATATTCAAATTGTAAGCAGGAAGTCTTTCTAAGCTTTCCCTTAGTTGGTGGTGCCATTAAACACACTTAGGTACGTTCTTGTGGTCAGAGAAGAAAGGAGTGCAAACTCCAATGTCTTTCTAAATCCATACCATGATGGGTTTACATCAGTGGGAGTTTTGACCAAGTAAGGGTTGCAGAGTCAGACCCCACGCAGAGCCCCAGACACAGCCTTGTTCTTATTTGGGATAAAAGCAAATGCACTTTGATGAGCTAAGCAACTAAACTGGGTTAATATCCAGTTTGTCAACAAACTTGTTTTGACATGCTGGCTAGACCATGGCTGTTTACCTCGAGCAAACCCAATTCTGGATTATTTTGTTCCCAGTAAAAACAAAAGACCCTAAAATTTCCCTTGCAGTCAGTAGTGCCAGCTATGTGCGGAGAGAGCCATGAGCTCACAGAGGCCCTTGCCAGAATTTGGGAGGCTTTGGTCAGAGGACCAGCTGGGAACCTGTCATTCCAGACTGACAAATCATGAATGCTCAGAGCAACATGATGCTGAGTGTGCAAACAGCGAGTCCACTTATGCTGCTCATACAACACGGGGATGTTCTCTGCCTGTCCCTGCATCAGAAGCAGAGGAAGTTTTCTAAACATGTGGAAAACTCCACTCTAAGCTGACCAGTGCTGAGGAGCTGGGGGCATCTCTTGAATCACACCAGAATTAATACAGCCAGAATAAAATATCCTCTACTAGTGTATCTATAAATATAGGTGTGTGTATATATTATCTATAAATATAAGTAATGTATAACAGTCCATACTCTTTCACAAGCACCTAAGGGCTTCCTGAAGACAGACATACAACTCATGAAGTGCCTTCCAAAATGTTTTCATAAGGAAGATCTTACAGAAAAAGGATTGTGTTTACACAATTTATGAAGATGTTTACAGCCCCAGCTACCCAGATGTGTCGAAATATTGCAGTGAAAATTCAGACCTACTGTTTTTCTTTTGTTTTTGGTGCAGGCGAGGTTGTTCGTATTTTTGTAGATTATTTTTAGAATTTGGTGAAGGGTTCAGCTGGTTTTACAGCAAAAGCTGCTGCCATGTAAACACTAGTAACTTCTCAAAGATAAAAATGCGTATGGTTCTAATTTTAAGCACATGAGGTCACTGGTGAAGTGTTCGAGGACTGCGTACCCATCAGACATGAGTGGAAGGATGTGCTGCAAAGTCTTGTTGATCCCATTTCAGCTTCAAGTGGGTAAGGGAGGCCGGCTGGCCTTAGCAAAGGTGCAGAAATAAATGGTTTGATTTACACAGATGCTCTGTGGGGTTTACAAACCTCCAGAAAGTCGGTGCTTTGTGGACTTGGAGTTGTGGGAGAGGCAGGCAGGACTGCTCCTGGTAAGAAGAGACAACTGAGAGACGAGACAATCCCTGGCAACCCAATAGCCACCATCAGCGGGCCCCAGCACCCCCGCGGGCTCTGTCCCCTCACACAGAGGGTTTAGGAATCCCCAGATCCCCGAGCCCCGCTGGATTCCTCATCGCTCCCGGGCCTCCTCATCCCGCCGGGCTGAGGGACACGCCCGGTCCCCCGGCAGGCCCTGGCCCAGGGGCGCTGCGACACGCCCTTCCCGCGGCCTCCCTCACACCTGTGCCACAGAACCACAGGATATCCCAGGCTGGAACGAGCCCACAGGGATCATCGAGTCCAACTCCTGGCCCTGCACAGGACACCCCAAGAATCACACCATGTGCCCGAAAGAATTGTCCAAACGCTTCTTGAACTCTGTCAGGCTTGGTGCTGTGACCACTTCCCTGGGGAGCCTGTTCCAGCGCCCAACCACCCTCTGGGCGAAGAACCTTTTCCCAACATTCAGCTTTGACCTCCCCTGACACAGCTTCAGGCCATTCCCCCGGGTTCTGTCACTGGTCACCAGAGAGAAGAGATCGGTGCCTGCCCCTCCGCTTCCCCTCGGCAGGAAGCTGTGGACAGCTATGAGGTCCCGTCCCACCTCACCCCGGTCCCCACCCGGGCCGGGCCCGTGACGGGGCCGCGGCCACAGCAGCGGTGGCGGCGCCGGCCCCGCCCGCCCACGTTTGCCGCGCCCGCCCGCCCCGCGCGGCGCTTCCTGCGGCGGGGCCGGCGGGGCGGGGGCCGGCAGGGGGAGGAGGCGGAGGAGGAGGGGACAGACGGGGAGGGGAGCGGGGAGGAGGGGCTGGTGCCGCTGCCGGATGCAGTGAGGAGGCGCCGCGGCCCCCCTGCGCTGCTGGCCGCTCACCTGAGCGGGCAGGAGGGCGGAGGAGGAGGAGCCGCCGCCGGCGCCCGAGCTGCGCGGAGCCCGGCGGTGAGGCGGGCGGAGGGTCGGCGGGGCGGGCGAGGCGATGGCGCCGGGCGCGTAGCGGGCAGGAGGCCCCGCGTCCCGCCGTGTGCGCCCGGCTGCCGGCGGGGGCGGCCGGCGGGCTCCGCCGCGGCCTAGGAGCGGCCTCTCCCCTCAGAGCGCCGGGCGCGGCGCCGCGGCGGCCCACACCATGTCCACCCGCACGCCGCTGCCCACCGTCAACGAGCGGGACACCGAGAACGTGAGTGCCGCGCCGGGACGCCCTCCCTCTCTCCCTCTCCACTTCCCTCCCGCCCTCCTCCTCTCCCCGGCACCCGCGGCGGCCCGGCCCGCCGTGCTGCCCCGGCCGGGTGCCCCAGGGGCGGGCGGGCCTTGGCCGGGCCGGCACCGCCGCCTGCCCGCGCCCCGGGCTCCTCCGTGCGGCGCTGCCGGGGCGGGTCCGGCCCCGCCGCGCTCCACGTCGCCCCAGCGCCCCGCGGCCCTGGGCCTCCCGCAGGGAGCGCTCCCGCAGCCCCTTCCAGCGCGGCCGGGCCGGGCTGGGCCGGGCTGCCCTTATATGTCCTCGGCTGTCGGCGCACACGGGCCCCCGCCGGGCAGAGGCCTGTAGCCCCCGCGGGCGGCAGCCCCGCCTTAGGGCGTCCCCCGCACCGGGCACCTCCGCGCCTGGGCTGGGATATCCACTTGTGGGCTGTCAGACCGCCCGGCGCTTGGCCCTGTCTCGCTTTCTGGGGTTCAGCGGTACTTGCTCTTTGTTCAGTTTGCACCTCCAAGACGGTCCCTGGTGTTGCTGTATTCCTTCCTCTGTTTTGCTTTGTGTTGCCTCTCAGAGAGGCTGTGGTCGGGTCCTTGGTTCCTCCCGAGTTCGTTATATCTTCCTTTGTGCTCTGTTTAAACATCTTTGCGCTCTCCTCTGCTCCGCCCGGGCTCGGCGGAGCGGGAGCACGGTGGTGTTCTCTGCTGTGGTGGTCTTCCGTAGAAAACAACCAGTCTTGGCTACGATAGACGGTGTGCCTGAGGAATGCTGGACCCTGTCTGGTCCTGTCCATCAGTGGTGATTATTTAAATTGGTGGTAGTGTGGGAGGTGTGACGTTTTCCTCTTGGGGTGAGGGGACCAATGTTAAAAGTGGTATGTTTGCAATGTAGGTATTGTTAGTTGCCTTTGGGAAGGTGGCAGAAGGAGGGCAAAAGGAGCCATACCCACCTTCTACTTGGGTGGAAAGTGATTGGTAAGAAATGAAGAAAGATGACCTAATGGGTTGAAAGTGGTTGAAGAAGATGCTTGTTTGTATTGAATCAATCTACAGAGGTTCTGGTCAACAGTAGGAGCTTATAAGGTTTGGTACTGTACAGGCCCAAGCAATAGTCTCTTCTGAATAGGTTACTGACTGATATAAAATGAAAAGTGAATATGAGAAGAGGATTTGGAAGACAGAGGTAACAGAAATGAGGTAATATAGCTAAAGAAGTGAAACTCTAGCTTGGTGAATTTTTATAATGAGCTTTTAATATCAGCTGCTCAGTGGAAGTTTAATTGACACAGCGATATCAGCGTTATTACTGGTTAAAGCAAATAGATGTATTTGGTCTGTCCTTACTCTTCATGGACTGATGAGTTCTGTGTTATTGTCACAACGAAAGTAAGTCCTTGACATGAAAACTTCGATTTAATTAAATGATAAAGCCCAGGTTTGTGTGATATGTGTTACTCATGAGTCTCCATTTCAAATGTATATGGCAATGTCGCTGAGAGATAGATGACAGGAAGGGACATATATAGGTATATATCCAGTAATATAGTGCATAAGACTTGCAAAATTTACACAAAGCAGATGGAAATATTCCCAAGTGTCATCATCTTTTATAGAATGAAAACTTCAATTAAAATGTTAGTAGTTCATTTAAAAGATATGCTACTTGGAAGGGCTCAATTTTGACACTTAGGGAATAGTAAGTGTTATTTTTTATTGTTGTAATTTCAGGGAGTGCATTGGGTATCTAAAAACCCCATGTTTGTACAGGATATCAGAATACTGAAAATTGCACATTTGTTTCTGAAAACCTTGGTGTAAGTCTGCAACCTAATACTAATGAATATAATCCTCCAGCCAGATAAACAGCAAAGAGCTGTGCAGTAGTAAGTTCCTAAATCTGCACAAAGTAATTCTAGTACTGTCATTAGTGTGGCGTCTGCTGGGTTTTGGAGCAGAGACCTCGAGGTCTGCCCATGGTGTCCCTGACTTTTGCTAAAGTGGCAAAGGTAGGATGGAGGAGGTGGTCCGTTGCTGACTTCCTGATCAGCAGCATTCCTTGATTTAAAATGGATTCTGTGAGGGTGAGGTGAGACTCTTAATTTACTTTTAATGTGCTTCCTTCTGCTAATAAACACTAATGGACTGGGGAACTGTTTATGCTGATGGGTCTTGACGTACAAAGTCGAGCTAGTAAGCTCTGGGTAACTGAGGCAGTGAGAAGTTGCAAGAAAAGGGAGAAATAATTGGAAAGAGTGAGGAGTTAAGGAGCAGCTTTTGGCCTGGTAAAAAAATACATCTTTATAGTGCTTATTTCTAATCCTCGAGTATGTATATTAGCAAAGCTCTCCCAAGTTCTGCAGCCAGTGGTGATCTTCAGGAGAGGCTCTTTTCTTCCCTCTCATGCGTGTGGCCATCTTGGCAGTGTGGCTCCATTGTGTGACTCCCAAGGGACAGACTGTAGCTCTGTATCCCAGAGAGAGCTGATTGATGGTTCTGACTACAAACCTACGTGCCCATCCAACTGTGCTTTGCACATGGTGTGAGGTTGTTGCATGAAATCACAGGGAACTACCCTACCACCACCACTCTCTGTCTCTTGGCAGCTGCTTTCAGTACTTTAAAATAGAAAATAAATAAAACTTTAATGTGTCTTTCTCTCAGTGTGCAGGCATCTGTTACATCCTTTAAAAAATAGTGTAATAATTGGGTATAGCACCTATCATAAGAATATACATTTCTTGAGGAATTACAGGAGTTCCTGATGGGATGGGTGACAAACTTGCATATTTCCATAATTCTTTGTGCCTTTTATCCCACTGCATCCTTTGAAAGTAGTCTAGAAGGGATAAGATCATGCAGCATATTCCTTGATAAAGTCTTATCAGAAAGCTGGAGTAAGAAGTACAAGAACCATCAGCAACGGGCACACAACAGGTGGAGGGAGCCAGCGGTGGTGGAGCAGTGTGAGTGTAACTGATAGGTCTGCCTTGTGCAGATTCACAGCCTTTGTCTTTTCTTTGCCTTTTTGCTGTTCCTGACATCTCCCAGTGCTATGTTTAGCTTCTCTAGCAAATGTCCATAAATACTTTCCACTGGAAATGTTATTTCTCTTTCATGAAAGCTGTGTTTAAGGAAAATAAATAGATTATGATTGTCAAACACTTATTCTTACTGAACAGTTTATTGGGAAACTTGGGGAAATTAATGGGTGGAGGCTGTACTGTATTTTCATGCCTATTACCGGATTTGTTTTTTCAAATGAGGGGTAGGAGTGGTATTCAAAATAATAATTTCCCCGTGTTTTGATTTTGTACATGTAACTATTTACAGCTTCCTCTTGATACATTTTACGTAGGCTGTGACGGGTAATGTGTCAGTGCATTGAAACACTTGCAGTTGGGGTTAGTTTGGGTGAACTGAACTTCCCTTCTCTGCTCTCACTGGAGAAGGAGAAGGACAGGAATCAAAAGCTTTGAGCTAGAATCTCTTTTGTTTTCTTTGAGTTGGTATTAATTGAGGAGAGAGGAGCTTCTATATTTTTCCCTTCGTGGTGTGTTGTATTGTGTTGTTAAATTGGGGAATGGTTTTCCTGAATTAAGGCAAAAGAAAAGACATGCATCAGTAATATATTCTCCTAAATGTTTTTGGGGAGCTCTGTATAAGAAAATACTCATGGAGATTCAACAGTTGACTCTGTAATACTTGCTGTATAGTACTTTTAATAAAATTAATAAAAATGAGAATGCTGTAGTTTGCTTTTTTCTGACTTAAGGCCCTGGTTAGTTTGGCATAAGAATACATTTTTTTTTCTCTATGGTAAGTATAATTTAATCTTTCAAAGGTATTACTGTTACCTGTGAGGGTATTACTGTTTATCTGTGTTGTGGTCTCACCCATCTAGCTAAGTTTTAAGGTATTATTTTGTTTTGTACTTTTCAGAGGCATCAAAGTTGTTTAATTCTGCTGGGGCAGTCTGGCACGTTTACGGTGAAAGAAGGAACAAACAAGGCGGGAGTGCTGGATGATAACTCTGGCCAGGGTCAAGGAGGAATGTGGGAATTGTGGTTTGTCTTACCTAGCCAGTGCTATATGAGAATGATTGAGATGTCACATCAGGGGGAGTTTTAAGGAAGGATAAAACAGTGACCTATGGTCATGTGATTTGCTGC